TCACAACTGTTCGGTCCAAGTTGCCTGCCCGTTGGTAGGGCAATGGTCCTGAGTGGTGGTCACACTGAGGTAGAATAATGGGATAGGGGGTGCGCTAGGAGTATTGACGTGAGGATCGGTTGGGCGGTGGTCTCATATTCCAGGACACCCACGGCTCACAGTACCAGGCGATCACTGTGCACACACTGACTGGCCTCTACAACACATTGGACAAACTTGAGTTAAAAGTAAAAAACTATAAAAAACTTCATGAATTATTAATAATAATAAAAATTGGGTATGTCCAATAAATTGTTATAGAGAAATGGGTATGTCCAATAAATTGTTATAGAGAAATGGGTATGTCCAATAAATTATTATAGAGATAAATCATAGACCATGTTCGGACCCCCCCAAAAAACGAAAATGGGCCTGAAAACCCCCCAAAACAATTTTGGGGCCTCGACTTCTCAGTGGGGAACACCTTTGACAAACTTGAGTTAAAAGTCAAAAACTATAAAAAAATTAATGAATTAATAAATAAAAAAAATGGGTATGTCCAATAAATTGTTATAGAGAAATGGGTATGTCCAATAAATTATTATAGAGATAGATCATCGACCATGTTTGGACCCCCCCAACAAACGAAAATGGGCCCGAAAAACCCCGAAAACAATTTTGGGGCCTCGACTTCTCAGTGGGGACGGGTCCTGGACCGTCCCCCCCCCCTTCCCCCCCCTTCCCCCCCCCCTTCCCCTTGAAATTTGGCAGATGCGGACCTTCCTGATGCAGCTTCTGTAGTCCGAATTGAATCCAGACCATCTGGACAGCGGTCTGGACACTAGCCATGCTGTAAAAGATACATGTGTTATGATCCTGGCCAATTTCAAAGTACAAATTCATGAGAAATCACAATGCCGTCCAATTGCGAAAAGAAATGAATGAACTTGAGAGGAGAGAGAGGGAAAGAAGAAGGTGAAAGCCCCAAGTCAAAAGGCCAAGTCGGCCGGTTCAGAAGGGTTAAGTCGGGTACCCCAGGAGTCAAGTCCAACAGGTACCCAATCAACAGTCACATCCCAGAGGCAAAAGTCACATCCTAGACAAAGGTCACATCCCACAAGCAAGGGTCACGACCCGCAGTCAAAGGTCACGTCCCACAGACCCAAAAGCAGCAGCACACCAAGGGAGTACCGGGCGTCAACATTCTGAAGCAAACAGGCCGCAGGCAGCTGGTACTGGGTCCATGTCAAGCCGAGAGAAGCAGAGGCTGGGTCAAGTCAAGGCCCAGTCCTCGCATTGAAGCTTGGTCAAGTTGGCCACGATCTTCAAATAGGTTTTTTTATAAAGCGTTGATAGTAGCTGGCCAGGCCAAGAAACAAACGAACATCCGTGACGTTCCACAGCTCCGACCACTCTTGGATGGCTTGAATCTTGTTCGACAACGGACTAATGCCCTCCGGTGTGACAAAATGACTCAAGTACTCCAACTCTTGCTGTATGAATTCGCGCTTGTCACTGTTGGCTTTGTACTTGGCGCGACGGAGCGTCTCCATCACGCGTCGAAGATGTTCGAGATGGTCCTCCAATGAGAATATTGTCCAAGTAGACCAGCACAAACTGGTCCAACATCGTGCGGAACTCGTTCGTCATTGCCGCTTGAAAAGTCCCCAGGGCATTGGCGAGGCCAAAAGGCATGACAACCCACTCTACATGTTCGTACTGCGTTTTAAACGCGGATTTATAGCGACCTTGTGGGTATATCGAAATCTGATGATATCCCGACTTCAAATCCAACTTTGAGAAGTACTTTGTGCCGCCCAAACGCTAGAGAAGATCGTCAATACGAGGAAGAGGCCCCACATTCTTGACGGTTTGCTCGTTGAGCTTGCAATAGTCGATGCACTACAAGCAAAGATCCTTGTTCTTCTTCCGTACGAAGAGAACTGGTGCACCATATGGTGAGCTACTAGGTTGGATCCAGCCCTTGCCCAACAAATCATCGAGTTGCGTGCAGAGAACCTTCAGCTCTTTCTCGCTCATGTGATAGATGCATCCTTTCAGTGGCACGACACCGGCCTCAAGAATAATCTCATGGGAGATCGGCCGATCCGGCACCACACCGGTGGGAGACTCGAAGATGTTGGCGAACTCATCAAAGCAACCTCACCACACGGGGGCGAAGACAAGTCCGCGGGTGAAGATTCGGTCGCCGCGACGGTTTGAAGAAAACATTGGCTGATCTCGTCGGTCCGCTCGTATGCATAAGTGGCTTGAAAAGATTTGGCCGTCACGACTTGGCACCAGATCGAAGGGTGCGGAAGAGGCTCGTATGCATAAGTGGCCCGAAACGATTTGGATGTCACAACTTGGCACCGGATCGAAGGGTGTGGAAGAGGAATAGTGCACGACACCTCGGCGCCAAAGGCGTCGCGAACAGTAAGTGTCCGCCGATGGAAGTTGATCGTGTGGTCCGCACTTGCAAGCCAAGGCATCCCCAAAATGATGTTGAAGTCCGAGTCCAAGACTTCAAACATCATCGGCTTGCATGCATGAGGTGTGAAATAGACCGACACAGCTTCAATGTAGCCATCAAGAAGTTGTTGTGTATGATCGTTCGCCATCTTAACCGCCGTAGGATGTGACTTCCTTTGAACTTGTGCGTCAAGGCCGACCCTTTGGATGAAGGACTGGCTCATGAAATTGCGAGTCGGGCCGCTATCCAGCAAAGCGCTGCAGGACGCTTACCCAACTTGGGTGTGGACGTAAAGGAGCGGTGCGTGGTAAGAATGCTGAAAACTCGGTGCCCCAACACGATATCGAAGCAAAGTCGCACTGAACACAAGCACCGAGGCTGAAAACTTGGTGCCCGTACCGGGCTCGAGTTCGTATGTAAGTACCGGACTCAAGTACGGTCCTGAGGGCGAAAGTGAAAATGCCTCAGGGCCAGAACTGAAAATTGAAAGTCTGAGAGTGGGTGCCATAATGTTGGATGATGCCACATGTCCGAAATCCGAAAGTCCCAAAGAAGGAATTTGAGAACCGGCGCCAGAATGCAGATGGCGCCAACTGTCTGAAATCAGGGGCCTGGACCCATTAGCGAAGTATTCTACCACTCCGTTCAGGATTTCGATCACGTGTGGCCTTGAGTGACGCAGTACGACCGTCGAATGCATCGGATCTCGATGACCTGGTAGTTTCCGAGCGGGGACTGTAAAGATGTCCACCTCCGTCCAATGAGATGCATTGAAAAAAAAAGAAAAACAGACTTGGACATGATAGCTCG